AGGCAAAGAGACGAAGACTGTTGTTGGAGCCTAGACACCCGCGAGCTGTTGTGACGCTAACGCAGTCGGTAGTCCCGCCCGCTAGTTGCGCGTGCCGCAGTTCCGCTGCCGCCATTCTACCTGAGAGCCGTTGCCGGCCTGATGCCGTCCCGCCTGAGAGCTGAATGCTGTCGTATAGTCTAAGAGCTCATAGCCGAATGTGGAATGCTGCCGTCCCTTCCTCCTTGCGGGTCGGGTTTGGTCAACCCGGTAACCCGCACGGGTCGGTTTTGGGTTGACAATCGTGACCCATTTGCAAAACTTAGTCGAATTAGTATCGACCCTGTTGCGTCCTGGAGTATTCGCGGCGGCAGAGAAATATAGTTTAATGTCTTAGCATTGTACGAATATCCAACACAATCAGATAAGTGAGAGGGTGTAGCATTCATAAGAGACACCAGAGTTTTTTATGTGGAAAACCCCTGAAAAGGGGGAAAAACCACGGGGCCTGGCCCAGTTTGAATGAATCCACTAGTATTTGTAGTCGATTACAAATGAGGCCCTTCCTTGGGAGAAGGCCTTGGATTGATGTAGCAAATGTACATCATGTATATTGCATTACATAGTAGGAGTTACATATACATGTTTGTTTGGTCGGAAGGACTGTAGTCGGCAGGAGACCGGGGTCAGAAAGACCGTTGTCTATTAATGGAGGTTGGAAGGACCATAGTAGGCGACGGAGGTCGGAAAGATCGTAGTCGGCAGGAGACTGGGGTCTGAAAGACCGTTGTCTGGTGCGGAGTGACCATAGTAGGTGACGGAGGTCGGGAGGACCGTATTCGGCAGAAGACCGGGGTCAAAAAGACCGTTGTTTGTTGATGAAGGTCGGAAGGAGATGGTGGTGCGGCGAAACTCCGGCGGTGGTCCGGCGAGGCTCCGGTGGTGGTCCGGCGAGGCTCCTGCGGTGGTCCGGCGAGGCTCCGGCGGTGGTCCGGCGAGGCTCCTGCGGTGGTCCGGCGAGGTTCCGGCGGTGGTCGAGGAGGAGCTTCTTCCTTCTCTTCCTTCTCCTCTTCCTTCTCTTCTTGCTTGGATCCTCTCTTGTGAAGAATGAGGGCTCTATTTATAGATTTTCTGGAGTGGCATGGACCGTAAATAGGCGTGAGATCAGGGGCGAATAGGGAGTGGTTAAATGGACGGCCGATATTGAATTCTACGATCGTGCACCGTTCGTTGGCCATTTGGAGGCCTTAATGATGTTGGAATTCAGCGATCTTGGGCTCGTTGGATTCGTCTCGTCGAGCCGTTCGATTCGAGTATAAGCTCGTAAAAATCAGAGACCGTTTTGTAACTCAAATTGCGGTTTGAACCTTCCAACAGCGCTTCGGGTCCATGATTCGGACCCATTTGGGCTCGGATAGGGTCGAATTTGATGTCGTTGAGTTCGTATTTCCGAGACGCTCAGTTCGACTGTAAGTTTGCTGAAATCGGAGTTCGGGTGCTCTCGGAATTAATTTTTGAAGTTTCCAACTAGCTTTTGCCTCGAGATTCGTGCCTGATCAAGCTAATTTTTTGATGACGTATCACACCCGTTAAAGGCAGGGTCAAATCAGATTCGATCCCAACTCGGCCAGTTGATCGGAATTAACACCCCTAATTATTGCAGCTGCTGCCACGATTATCTTGGTGAGATGACGCCTCATGAATTGTGAGGTGGAAGGATGAGAGGCAAAGAGGATGATTCTTCAGCTAGAGATACTTTTTTACTTTGGGGAAGAGCATGAAAAAAATGTGGTCCCATTGGCTCGTCCCTTCAGCGCAAAACTCGAGTTAGCATGTTCTTAATAAAAAAAAATTATTCATTAAAACAGTCGAATTTTTTTTTAAAAAAAATTTACGAAATAAAAAATTAATTTAAAATTTTTAAAATTAAAAACTATTAGTTTATTTTAAAATAAAAAAATAAATTTAATTTTTTTTAACAATATTAGGTTTAAAAATATTTAATACAATAACAATACCATCAAGTCATTGTCCGACAACGTGAGGTCGGCTACATGAATCTTTTTTTATCTTTGTGTCTTGTTAAAATTCAAATTCTCATTTAAATCTTATAAAAAATATCATTTCTAATATTTTCTTTCTAACCAAATCTTTTTAGGTCCACCTCTACCTTTATTAACATAAGTCAAATCTAATACTTAACTTTCCTAATCATGACATCGGAAGGCCTCCATTTAATATGACCAAACCATCTAAGGCGGCTCTCTCTAATATTATCTTCCACTGGAGCTACTCCAATCTTTTCACGTATATGCTTATTTCGTATCTTATCTCTAAGGGTAAAGCCACTCATCAACCTAAGCATCCTCATCTCTGCAGCACTTAACCTAATATTATGCTTAATAAAAATTTTAAATTTAGTTTCAAAATATACTAATAAGTTTGTATATGTAAAGATATTATATTTTAAATATGTAAAATTGATTTTTATGTAATACATGGATGATAAAATTTTGCATTGATTAGTTTCTGTTACTTTTGCTCCCATAAAATATTTGTAAAAAAAGTTATTTTTAGTTGTTGAACGTACACGGGCTGTTGGCATATATTAATGAAGTTATTGTGCATGTCGCTTTCATGACTATTACACATAAAATATTTGTCCATACAAATGCAGTAGTATTTGACTCCATGCTATTTGAATAGTAAGATGGCTCCTTTCATATACGTGAAGTTTTACATTTGGAAAATTTTTTGCTTCTTATTTTATATCTGAAAATATATCTTTTTGAGTATATGTAAAGGATCGTCGGAAGAATCAGACCCGTTTGAAGGCAATTTCAATCCAGAGAATAAAGAGAATCACAAATCTTCAAAAGCTTTAAAAGATGATAATATTTAACTCATCAATGTCCCGGTTCTTCTTACATCATACTGTATATACAGTGATTAGGTAGAAATCTAGAGAAAACTAGAAAGTTTTAGAATCCTATAACAAGCTTGTAACAAACTAGATAACAAGAACGATTTAAATTAAGATGCTCCACATTAGACTGTTGGATGGATGATGCATGAAATGTATGACATATATTATCAATTAAGTAACTTGAGAACATCTTTTGTTTTGCATTTTGTTTGACATTTTAAGAGTAAATTCTGATGTAAAAAAGAGTAAATTCTTAAGAGTAAATCACTTTAAGAGTAAATTCTTAAGAGTAAATCACTGATGCTTAGCTTAGTTGGTGGGCGAGTACGTTTGGAAACCTCCCAATTCGTATTTGATTCCTCTCGAGCGTCAGCGCTTCTTAAGTGGGGCCCAAACAAAGTACAAGCTAAGAATTCATACTGAACCAAAGCAATAATCTCTAATTGCTGCTTTTGATCTACTCCATGCCTTTACTTGTGAACTAGTCAATATTTTCAAACTGATTTTCTTGTGCTCCAAACAACCTTATTTGTCTTCTCTTCTTCTTTTTTTTCCAAACTGGATTTCTTGTTCTCCAGACTACCTTATTTGTTTTTTTTTTTTTTTGGTATGTTTTTATTTGTTTATTTCAGCTTTTTGCTGACTATTTTTACTTTAAGATTTCATTTGGGATAGATTTTTTACTGTTTCTTAAAACAACTTTTTAGTACAAGAAATAAATTTTTTTTATATTAAAATATTATTTTAAAAAGTAGTAAGAAAGCCATTCCAAATGAAACTTAAGGCTATGTTTGAGACGGTTTTCTTTCTTTCATTTTGCACCAATTAATTTGCTTTATAGGCCTTTTGCTTTAACATTTGTGCATGCTTAATAGGTTGATAAAATATATATGTACTTTTATTTAGCTAGTAGCTCATTAAGGTTGATAAAATACTTTGTTGGGATGATTTAGGTTTCCATAAGGACAGCTTTATTATTATTTTCTAAAATAATTTTTAAGTTAAAAAAATTTAAATTTAAAAATTTTTATTCTATAAAATTATTTTTTAAAGCAGTTAGAAAGCTATTCTGAAGAAAGCCTTAATTGATTATTTGATGACTCTTTCTAATGTTAATAATTTTCTTATATTTTATGATTTTTAAAAATTATGTATATTATCATAAGTACAAATATGATGAAAATATTAAATAAATGGTAAGTGCTATAGATTGAAAATATCCCTTTTATAATATTTGGCTTAATACAACAACATAAATAGACTTATTGAATTTTTTAATTATAATTTTAAATCATTTATGTTTAGGATAAGATCTTTGACATTAAAATATAATTTATTAGACATGGTTAAAAATTAATTATAAACGAAATTCATATACAATAAATTAATAAGGAAATTTAAACAAAACAATGGCATGAAATATTGAAATTATAAAATATTAATTTCTTTTGATTCTTCAAATAATGTCATGAAGTTTCCTATCATACTTCCAGTACTTGATTTGGACTAAAATCATCACATTTAGTGTCATATCATTCGTCTCATCGTGAAGTTCAATTGAGATCAGAGCTCATATAAACCTAAATTTATTTTTAAAAGTTTTATAATTTATATACTTGTATGCACTGAGATTCATATAAATCAAGTGAATTTTTCGAAGATGTATCAACATATATTCAAAATTTGCTCAAACTAGAAGAAATGTGTAATTTCATTCATGCATATTAAATCCAACTATTTTATCTCACTTAAATATTAAAATTCATATAAAATTTTCAACTCTCATTTGGTAAATTTTTTAATTTAAATGTATTTGGTGATGATGCATAAATTTATTACTTATATTTTTAATAGTTGATAATTTATAAATCTAATAAATTTCATGGCACTTGAGTAATTCTTTAAAAAATCAATTTATTTATATTTTTAGCATGAGTGTTAGTTAACTTAGTTGATAAAAATAATAAAATTTAAGATTCTCCAAAAAAATGAAATCAAATGATAAAACTCATCATCATCTCCTAATATATGAATAAATAAATTACAAAAATACTCATGTGGGGTCCACACGCTGCCCTGCTAAAGAATAGGGTTTTTTTCGGACTATAAAAGACGATGTGTGGGCAGTAAGGGTTTCAATCTATCTCCGCCGACGCAGCGAGAATCCGAGCGCAGAGCCTCTGTTCCTCCAATCGAGTCATCGTATTTTCTCTTTGTGAGTTTCTTCTTAATTTCTTCCATTCACCTCTACTTCGGTTTTCAGCTTTGATCTCTTGTTTTTTAATTTTGATGCTTTCGATTGTAATTAGGAAGCCGCTGTTCCTCCAATCTAATCATCTTTTTCTTTCTCATTGCGAGTCTCTTCTTAATTTCTTACATTCAGTAATCAGTAATTACCGATCGCAATTTGCTACTTCTTTTTGTAGCTCTGTTTTCTTGTTTTTTTAATTCTGATGTACTGACTGTTATTAGGGTCGTCTCAAAGATTGCGGATCAAAATGAAACTTACGTGATCGGTTTCTACGTTACGCAGCGCACTACATAGGTTAAATTTGAGAGATCTAAAGGGAAATTTTATAATTAGAGACGTATCAACGAGTTCGAGTCCATATGGATTTTTTTCGTGATCGGTTTTCAGGCTTGGTTGCGTCATGCGTTAGATCGAGTTTGAGGTGTCTAGAAAAAATTTGAGCGTATTCGATTCTGTCGATTGTGCAAGAGCTTATTTAATCTTCAGTCTGATCTGCGATCTGAATTACATGATTATGAGGAATTTAATATCTTAGCTGTTGTTATTTTGTAATGGGATTGGGTCTGGACGAGAGATGTCTCTCAATGCTTGGATCTATATCTAGTTAATTTTGTAGGTGTTTTCTAGCTGTGTCTTTTTTTATTCCAGTTCTAGTGAGCTGGTTCTTGGTCGTGGGTTGAATTTATGGCACACATGGTTATTTTTCTGGTGTATGTTGCATTAATCTGTTATGCGTTTGTTTGAAGGTTGCTTACCATTATGAATTTCTGTTTTTTCTTTTTAAATCTGGCCGTGTTTATGATTTCTCTTAAGTTTTCTCTCTTATCTCTTTCTTTGTTGAGAATATTAGGATATGAGGTTTTTCCTGCCTCTTTTTCATTCGAAGTGCTTTTATTGTTGAATTTTTTTTAAAACAAACGGCTCGAAAATAAATTTAAAGAAATATTGCAATTATAAAAATTGATATCTTGCCTTTGGGGCAGCTATATTCTATTTTAAAAAATTAGTGCATTGCCGTTCTATGGTAGGTAGAGCTGTCAATATTGGACCCGATCCTAAAACCCGAACTGAAATTTTCGGGTTTGGGTTGACCCAACTCGAAGCGGGTCGGGTTCGGGTCCGAAAAACTAACATGTTTGCAAAACCGGGTCGGGTTCGGGTTGACCCGGAAACCCGGGAATGACCCGAAAAATCCGTTTTCCCCGACTGCCTAGCGTTGATGCCCCGGCTGGCCGCTGCCTTGCGTTGCCTGCTCCGGCTGCCCCGCTGCCCTGCATTGCTACCCCGGCTACCCACAACCCACGTGACTGTGTCCGTGTGTCGAATCGCTTCAGAAGGAGATTTGACCGTTCGAGACATCGAGCTGCGCGTCGCATGCCCGAGTCAAGTTGCCGCCATCACAGCCTGCCTCGCGTCCTCCATTGCTCTTCTAGTCTAGTTTCTTCTCAAATGCTTCCTTCCAAAAGCTCCCAAAACCTTAACATATTCTTGAAACCATTTATTGAGGTGTGATTTTCAATGGAAGATATTCAAGAATTATTTTTAGGTGGCATAAATGTATTTTTAAATAAGCTTCCGAGCTTTTGATGTTTAAAATATCTCCAATTCTAAATGCTTTCCAAGAATGTGTCGATCAATATCAGCTCATGAAATCTATTTGCTCAGCTTCTTATTGCATTTGATTATTCATGGAGTAACTCCAGAGACTAGTTTCTAATGTTTAATGTTCTCTAATTTGGTTTCGATTTTAGAAGGATAAGAAGAAAGCAATTAATTTTTTAGATTTAAATTATTTTGTTGAGCTGAATTAGTTGCTTTATATCCTCGCTGTTGGATCTTTATATTTAGTGGTATTCATGTGCAATCTGTTCAAACAATGTTGTAACGTTCTGACATTTATTTTTTTATTTTAGTTTGCTGCTGGTGAAGATTTTTAGTCTTGATGAGAATAATTATTGCTCTTGTTATTTGCACTTTAAGTTGCTTTGTAATGAAGCTGATATAAAATATATGATCTTAATAAAGGGATGAAAAGCTGCAGTTAAAATTATTATTTTTGTATTTTAGCATTTGCCTATTTAATTGCCTTATTTTTCTGCGTCATCCTTCTTAATGCTTTCTTAATATGATTTATAACATAGCATGATTCACTTATGATGGTTTTCGTTAGTTCTGCTCCCTGCATTTGCAATAGATTCTTTCTGACTGACGTGCAGTAATGGAACCTGGGCATACTCTACATCTTCCATGAATTTATTCGAACTTGATTCCTAATCAATTTGGTTTACCTATTTACTCTTTGTGTGATTTGGTTCGTCTTGTATTGGTATTGCTCTTTATGCATTTTTCTTTCTGCCATTGTATTTGAGGTTTTTTATTTTATACATGCAAGTGTCATGGTTTTACCTTTGAAGCATCTTATCACATGTTACCCGACGTAAACTAACCTGTTTGTTTCGATCCAAGAAGAAGAATCAGCAATGGGAAAAGAGAAGGTTCACATCAATATTGTGGTCATTGGTCATGTCGACTCTGGGAAATCGACCACCACTGGTCACCTTATATACAAGCTCGGTGGTATTGATAAGCGTGTGATCGAGAGGTTTGAAAAGGAAGCCGCTGAGATGAACAAAAGATCATTCAAGTATGCATGGGTCCTCGACAAGCTCAAAGCCGAGCGCGAACGTGGTATTACCATTGATATCGCATTGTGGAAGTTCGAAACCACGAAATACTATTGTACTGTCATTGATGCTCCCGGACATCGTGATTTCATCAAAAACATGATCACTGGCACCTCTCAAGCAGATTGTGCAGTCCTTATTATCGACTCTACCACTGGAGGCTTTGAAGCAGGTATTTCCAAGGACGGACAGACTCGCGAACACGCCCTTCTTGCTTTCACTCTTGGTGTCAAACAGATGATTTGTTGCTGCAACAAGATGGATGCAACCACACCCAAGTACTCAAAAGCAAGGTATGATGAGATTGTGAAGGAGGTTTCTTCCTATCTCAAGAAGGTTGGTTACAATCCTGACAAGATCCCATTTGTACCGATCTCCGGATTTGAAGGCGACAACATGATTGAGAGATCAAACAACCTCGACTGGTACAAGGGTCCGACTCTTCTCGAAGCCCTGGACTTGATCCAAGAGCCGAAACGCCCAACCGATAAGCCACTTCGTCTTCCTCTCCAGGATGTCTACAAAATTGGCGGTATTGGAACTGTTCCCGTTGGCCGAGTTGAGACTGGTATCCTCAAGCCTGGAATGGTCGTTGCCTTCGGACCTACTGGACTCACAACTGAAGTAAAGTCCGTTGAGATGCACCATGAAGCACTTCAGGAAGCTCTTCCTGGTGATAATGTTGGCTTCAATGTTAAGAATGTTGCTGTCAAAGACTTGAAACGTGGGTTCGTGGCTTCTAATTCCAAGGATGATCCTGCAAAGGAAGCAGCCAATTTCACTTCTCAGGTCATCATCATGAACCATCCTGGTCAGATTGGAAATGGCTATGCTCCAGTTCTCGATTGCCACACCTCGCACATCGCCGTCAAATTCGCCGAGATCTTAACCAAGATTGATAGGCGGTCTGGCAAGGAGCTTGAGAAGGAACCAAAGTTCCTGAAGAATGGAGATGCTGGTTTTGTGAAGATGGTTCCTACTAAGCCTATGGTTGTCGAGACTTTCTCCGAGTATCCGCCGCTTGGAAGGTTTGCGGTCAGGGACATGAGGCAGACTGTTGCAGTCGGCGTCATCAAGAGTGTTGAGAAGAAGGATCCAACTGGAGCTAAGGTCACTAAATCTGCTGCCAAGAAGAAATGAATTGTGCGTTGTTGTTTGAATAAGTACGAGTTTGAGTCGATCGACTTGGTATCTGGTGTTTGGATGCAAAACTGGGTGCTTGACAGGCGGTGGCACTGCTCGTTTCAGTTATGTTTTAATTGTTTGTGTTTTTTCTTTTCCGTTTGTTGAAAGAGTACTTTTTCTCTACTACTATGGATTGGTGATTGGTGAAGGTGCAGTATTTATTTTACCTATTTTCTGTGAGAAACTATTGTTGTTTGAATTGAATTTCAAGTTATTTGAGTTTCTACCGTTCCATTGGTTTTTTGTGATTAATTTGCTTTGCTTTTAGTTTTTTAAACGTTTATTCGGCATGTTCATCAACTTTACAGTATATTTACTGCCAGAAGTTTCTTTCCAGTACCAGGTAGCCTTAGAATCTAAAATTATAAGTTATTCAGCCTTCAATGGTGGATTATAAATTTCAATAACTCATTCAATAATCATTTCAAGTTCTTTCGTTAAAAAATAAATCGCAATCCATAGTAAAAAACATTTCTATAAATAAACATTTTATATAACTCGTTCCTTATAAATTTCTGATTGATGATGATGGACAATAGAATGCAGTAATTTAAGCATTCAAAAGGCAATCATATTTATTCTGGCTGTTTTGCAAGCAATTAGATATTTCATCTCTTACAACTCATTCTAAACTACATAAGCAGCCACTACAAGCAAAAACATAATTCAGTAAAAAAAAAAAAAATCAAATTAGAAAAATTTAGGTTAGAATATCCAAACTTCAATGTACTTTAAAATCATTAAATATTTTGAGATTGATGTAATACAATAATCTAATCATATTTTATCCATCTCAAAATAAATTTAAAGACTTCAAAAGTCATTTCGATTAAATTTAAGTAAGAATACCCTAATCCAAAATTTCTCCAACCAGAATATGATTCCAAACTATAATCTAAACCAATCGCTAGTTAAATACGCATCTCGAGCATTCTGATTTTCCTGCTTCACACCCTCGTAAACCTTCACCGATTCCTCTGAAAATTTTACCAAACATTCAAATGTACTCGTCATGCTTTCTTGCAACCTGACCAAACTTTTACAAGGATAAACTTCCTTGTTTTGATCATTTCCCTGCTCTGATCTGTCTTCTTGTTTTTCATCTTTCCGATGCTCCTCGAGCAATTCACTTAAGATTGTTATTAGCTTCTTCAATGAATCACAAACTTCTTCCACAGGAAGCCTTTGGATTCCAGCTAACCAATCGCGGCATAATACAAAAATTGGAGGAGCAAGGGCTCGGCGAGGCGAAAATGGTACTTTTCTTCCTCTCAAACGCTCTTGAGGTTGCAGTATGCATTTCTGGAGCCAGCCATTCAGAGATTCGCTGTATGATCTGTGAGTATCAATCCAGGTTACAAAGCTCGAGCGAAAGCATTCGATCTCGTTCTGTAGATTGATGTCTGCTTGCTTATAGGAATCGCCATTTCGAGATGTTGCTGCCAAGTTCTTAGCAAGGTAAGCTGATGAGATTGCCAGGTGCTGGGCTTGATGACATTCAAGAATGGCTTTCCACATTCTTATCAACCTGAAAACACCAGAGTGCAGTCAAATGAGGTGTGCTTTTTTTATTTAGGGTTTAGGAAAACTGAAATAAGAAATGCATAGGTATTAGCACCTACAGAGAGAGAGAAAGATGAGAGTAAATTTAACTTTTGTTAGTCCATTTGACCGGTCCAGCTAGTCCACGCGGTACTGGCCCAGCGACACCGAGGCTGAAGATCTCCATCTCTTTTGGTAGCCGATCAATCCGCACGAGCCAAACGAGCATTTTAGGAAGGATTTTTTAGGGTTTTGGGAGAGAAATTTGAATGTAGGGACTGTTTAGGGATTCCTTTTAATTTGTATGCATTAAATAGTTTGTTTTCCTAGGGTTAGGGCATCTTGAATTTGGCTAAAATTTGAGATATCTTAGGTTTAGGTTTTCTTTTGGGCTCTAGCGGTGTTTAGAGATTTGGGAGAGATCGATCCTCCTCTCGAATAGAGGATCAATTGTTTCTTGTTATTTTCCGTTTCCCTTTTATCAAATAATACAAATTATCTACTGTTTTTGTGGATTTGTGTGGATTTAGGTAGAGAAAGCTCGCTGTATTTTGAAGATTGATAGGGAATACTTGAGATGTACAAGTACTTCATATCAGACCCCACCTTCAAGTTGGTTATCCAGAAGAAACACAACTTTGCCCAGTGTTGAAACCATCGATTAAGAGGTCAAAAAGCTTATGGAGACCAATTTCAACAGTGAGGTCGGTGATAATGATTAAAATAGTTGATGGGAGGTCGGGGATGTGTTGACAATACTAATCTCAAAGATAACTTTTGTCTTCCCCGCATCATCGTGCTTGACAATAGCAATACCAAACACCAAATGCTCAACTTCATCTACACATACCTTAAATAGAATAAGATCATGATAAACTCGCATGACAAAGATTTCACATTCTAATATTTCAATAAAATTTCTTGGGACTTGTTTGTTTGTGCATGGAATTACATTTTTAAGAAGAGTAAAGCTTCGCTAAATGATTGACATAGCGAATGAAATTACAATAGAAAGTTTTGTTGTGTGTGAGAAGATCAAGGAATGAAAATTTTTCATGTTCACTCCTAGTTCTTACTGTAGAAATGAAATCATTACATTAATTGATATGTGGAATTTAAAATTCATATTCATTTCTAATTGAATTTTCCAAATCGCATTTTCCATATAAAAGCAAACAAATTTTGCAACATGATGAAAAGTGCAAAGTGGCTAGGAACAAATGAACAAAACCCCCAGATAATCTATAATGAATCAAATTCACCCATAACAATTATCCACAATAATAGTGAGTTTCTTCGTATAATTATATGGTTCTATAACATCTGATGAGAACAAATGGACGCTGCAATGCAAATAAAATAACAACAACAAGATGAAATTCCATTAAAAAAAGTAAAATTCAGCAGAAAGCAGAGCAATACCCTTGAACCAATTCTGCTAGTTGTGGTTGCAATTCTTCGTCTCTCAGCTTCTCGATTCTTCTAGAAATCGAATCAACTGCTTGAATCATTACTCGGACACGAGAATGAAGATCCTTTACAGTAGCTCGTGTCTTGTCGATAACTCGGGGATTCACACCTTTAGCAAACTGGTGCCTTAGCTGATTGCACTTTTGATCATATGCCTTCCTAATGGATTCACTAGCCTGTGTAATTCAAGAGAAGCAAAAATTATCATATTGAAGCTCCATGTTAAAGAATAAAGGAATTCACCAAGTACTTTCTTTCATTTAAGACCTGAAAAAAAGGTAAGAAAATTGCTTATGTAGTAATATTTGAAATTTTTATGCTTACTGATTGTTATGCGCTAGGATAACAAGAACCAGAACTCAATTAATTCGACCTTCATTTCTTTGAATGTTCGTACAAAAAATAATAAATTTACGAATTTATGAGTGCTTACCTATTTATACAAGGATTTGCAAAAAATGACCATGAGAAGCAGCTTTGCGCACTGGCCTATAACAAAAATGCCCACCTCTTCTTAGAACGTGTTATTAATGGTCTTATCTTGTACTCAACTAAACTAACAATGTTATAGGGGTCTGAATATTGGGTTATTAAAAAGCTATTGTCGTCTAAGTTGAGCGTGCAAAAATTAGAATGTTAAGATGGATGTGTGGCGAAAACCAATAACGAATAATTAAAAAAATATTATATTAGAAGATATGTTGGAGTGACATCTATATTAAAAATAAGCTTAGTTGGCTTAAACGTGCACAATGAATGATTGAAAATGTGCCTATTAGACAAATTGATGAACCTAATGTTAGAGGATCAAAATAGAAAAATGGTTGAACTAATAGTACATAGATAGAGTTGTTCAAAACAATCTATATATATAAAAAAAAAGTTTAACACTTCAGACAATACTCAGCAAGGATAATGAAAAAGTATAATTTATAATGCTAATATGAATAATTAAGATAAAACTAATAATGACGATCTTTAAGGCTACTACATTATCACTCACATATCAACTGATTTTCTTGCTTTTATTGGCTTAAAACAGAAAGGTCTTTTTTCCATTTTTTTTTTCTTGAATTAAGGTTAACTTTAGGATGGTGTTAAAATATGATTTATGCTTTTCTTTTAACTTAATTGTCCTTGTTGCATTTTATTAAATAGGAAAAAAGGGCTTTTATGCCAATACTTCATTGGTAGTTTGTGGGCCTCATTTTCATAGATTGCATGAATATTATAATTCTTGTAAAGAGGCTTTTATGTTGATTTTTCATGTATTAATCATCCTAATATGATATGTGCTGCACAAGGTTACCTTGCCAAAGTAATTGATATATAATGTATATAAAACACATATTCAATCTAATATTGGAAAAGGTGTTCTTATTTAATAATAAATGAAAATAAAATGATTAATGTATATGCCTAAAATTTGCTTAATGGAAAGGCCAAAATATGACCTGAGGCAAAATAAAAAATAAAAAAATGACCCAATGCACAAGTTCAAACTTACTCTGTATCTTGGTACACCATTTTTCTAGATGTCTATAATTTGGTTGTAACAAATGTAATTTAGTTATAATAAAATTCAAACTTTGATATGAAGAGTAAATGTGACATGCAATACCTTATATGCAATGTTTATGACGCATAAATGCTAAAATTATGCATCATATATCCTTTCTTCTTCATATCCTAATCTTTCATCTTCAAATATTTTTGTCCATTATTCTAGATTTCTAGCTTTTCACAGATTTTATAGGTCTAACAAATGAACCTTTGCATAGCATAAGTATCTTTGTAATAAGTACAAAATAGATGAGGAATTAATGAAGCATAATGTCTATCATAAGAAAAACATCCAACATTACCCACGAATCGTCAACATATTAGAAGGACCCAATAGAGACAAGTAAGAGTTCAGTATTTCTTTCCTTCATGTTGCATGCAGCTGGAATGAAATTGGAAAGAATATGAATTTAGAAACAAAGAAATGATAGATTTAAGGGATGAAAGAGAAGAGAGAGAAAAAAGAGAAGAAAGAAGAAAGAGAAAAGAGATAAGGAGATAAAAAAGAGAAGAGGAAGAGAATGAAGTTTGTTTTTGGTTAAGGCATAATAAAATCTCAACAAACTAAATGTTGGGGACAAGCGATGCCGTGAGTGCACATAGAGATGCATGTTCCCACTAGTTCAAAGATCCATAAAAAAATACAAATACTTATTCACTCAAATAATTTCCTCTAAATTTTCTTTTATTTTTCTCTCTCATGGATCCCTCACATTCTGACTCCATATGATTATTTATTTTCCCAAATAATAACCCAGAACACTATTTCTAAAGTAACAAGCATTTAAAGTCAAATCTTTATTAATAATAAAATAATACTATATATTATTGCATCACTTCATCTTCACTTTTTTCTATTTCAATAGTTTCATAGCAGCATGACATACCACATGCATCCATGATCTTCCTAATCAAATGTTTTCCACATAAAATTTCCTCGATCAACAATTTTGATCATCATTGACTTCCTCAATGAAGACCACTTCCTCTATCTTTACAATCATAGCATCACTAACCTTTTAACTCTTATTCCTCACTTGCCACCATATAGCGGTTGTTAATGTCATATTACCAACAAGCATTATTGTGAACATTGTTTAAAATTGCGCAATATGAGGCTCGCCTTGAGGCCTATCTAAGCACAATTTCAGTGAAAAATGCATCAAGGCTTATGCCTCAAGTTTTTTTTATGAGGCTTATGCCTCATCTTAGCTAAGGCTCACCTTGAGGTGCACCTCGCCTCGTTGGCATGAGGCATACACCTCGCTCTATTTATGTATGTTTTTTATTTAAAACTTAGCTAAATCCTATACAAAACCCCCAAAAAAATCATGCCCTCTTGCGCTATAAAGCTGCATTAACTTCCTCTCAATTGTCTCAACCTTCAGCCCACCACCTTCGCTGTAGCCATCACCGTCGTAGCCGGGATCACTTGAAATACGCATACCGCCACCATCTCCTATAAAATTTAAGTATTACTCTTATTTTATGTTGATGAAAAATATTTATGAAAGAGGGAGATTGTTGAAATAAATAAAGAAGTAGATTGATAGGTATTGGACCCTACAGGATGAGGTAAAGGAGAGGCAAATTTGTTATGATGACTCAAATAAAAATCCCCTTAGTAATGATAGTACAGATGATTTATGATTTGTTGTCAATTATTTTAACTTTATTAGTAATTAAATGTAGATGATTAGAGAACTGAGATAGAAGAAATTTAAAGCTAAACTTGATGCTATATGATACGTTTATGCCATTCATATATTTTATGTTATTTTTCTCATGTAATATTTGGATTTCAATCATATTTCATATAATTTATTACTTATCACTTTATATTTTGTATAATTTTTTGTTTCATATGTATATAAATTTGTTACTTCATAGTTCAATAGAAAGTTAATATACCATCATTTAACATATTATTTGAGTATTATATAAAAAATTACTTTTAACTTTTATTTTTTATTTTGCACAATTTTTAGATTTTGAGGCTTACGCCTCAAAATGCCTAGAGGCTTACGCCTCGCCTCATGAATAAAAAACGCCTTAATACCCAATTACGCAATTTTAAACTTTGGTTGTGAACTCTAAATTTGCTTCTCATCTAAGATTGATATAGCCCCTCTACTCTCAAGATTCAGCACAACATTAGAAGAACCTTTAATTAGTTCGTTTTCTTCAAATGTCCTCACTTAATATCAAACTTCAGCAACATTAAGTTTCACCTCACCTATGGAAACTAGTAAGAATTGTATTTGAAGTTGATTCAAAGCTAATAAAATATGGCAAATAGATTTGCAATCTTAAGTCAACTTACCCTTTAATCAACCAAACAACTTAACACAGCTTACAACAGAAACAACTTAAGCTTATTGGCTTCTAGTTTATCTTTGCTTAGCTTATCCTCACTTAGCTTACAAAAAATAGACAATCAAACAGAGCCTAAAGTTCAACTTAGTTTATCTTTGGCCTTTTCCCCTTCCAAACACAATTTTAAGTCATTTCCTAAGGTTAAGCCAAACCCAACCTTTCCTCACTTGATAAGCCAATATAAGCTTAGTGCAACTCCAACATCGCTTAAGCCAGCTTTGCTTAATTGTCCTTGCCTTCCTCTTCTCTTACTTTCACCAGCTTATATCAACTTATCTTTTAACAAACTAAATGGCTTAATTCAAGTTTACAACTTTAGCTTCAAGTGCTAACAATTTGTATTTTCTTAGCTTACAAAAATTGACAACCAAACAAGCCATAAGGGCCTATTAGGTTGCATATTTTAGTTTTTACATAAGAACATATGAGTTAAGCAATAAGCTTAGGGCTTGTCTTGGTTTAAGGCATTTGGTTGGTAAATATTAAATAAGCTAACAAAAGATAAAAGAGTTGTTGCTGTGCTCCGCAACAATGATTGTCACCCTTGACTCTCATTCATACATAGCAGTAGGCCCCACTGCACTTCTCATATCTCCTCCTTTGCCACATGACTTTAGAAATTTATTTGGTGTGTGCTATTCCAAACCATATATATATATATATATATATATATATATGTGGGGATATTTATCAACATAATCAAGAAATGGATAATAATAAAAGGCATAGCGTAGAAGCCTCTGGCCAAATTTGGGGTTTGGGAGGGTTTGACGTGGGCAACTATACACTGCTTCAAAAAGAAAAATGTTTCAATCCCTTAATCTATTTGCCACATAAAGATATATGTACTGAACATATGTATGTAAACTACAATACATTAGCCAGCCTATATCATTGCTATATATCAAGCTTCATTTGCCAGAAAAAAACGTCATCAAGAATCTACAGATCATGCAAAATAGAATGACATAATTGTGATATTAAATTAACTATTACAAAGCTACAGTACCTTTAATTCATCATATAGCTTTCTTTCCCATGCATATAATCTGTCCAGAGTGGATGAATGACTACCAGAAATCATGCTAAATTCCTCAACAAAATCATTACCACTCTCAGGACCATCATCTTTTGATGCTGATGTAATTGGATTTCTAGATGATGATGATCGTGAAGAGATTGTGCGTTTCCATGTAATAACCTTTGTCACATGCTGGATTGTATCTATGTAGATATGTGATTGTACAAAGTAAATTATCTTATCTAATAAAATGAGAAAGAAATATTTAAGTTTAAATAAAAACTAAAGCTTTTTTCCACAACCAAATCATACAACATACCTCGCTCTCGCAAATTCTCTACCTTGCAACATGAGAGAAGGAAGACTGGCGGAAAAGAATCAGAAGATTTCCCTATGGAAAAATAACTCATGTGAGAGACGACGACAACAACAACAACAACATCAAGCCTTTATCCCACTATATGGGGTCAGCTACATGAATCTTTTTTCTCCATTTGTGCCCTATTAAAAGTTAAATTCTCATTTAAATCTAAGAAAAAAAAGATCATTTCTAATATTTTCTAACCAAGTCTTTTTAGGTCTACCTCTAACTTTCTTAACGTAAGTCAAATCTAATACATCTACTTTAACATTACTCAGGTGAGAGAGCTGAAAGAAAATTATATCCTACAAACCAATGTTTCAAAACTGCTGGTCCATTTTATGCTCACCTAATATCTCAGAGTGAATACTCAGTCGAATCTTCTTTGTCTCAAGCATCCTCGAAACCTCATGGCCTGCCTCTGCTGCTCGAAGAAACCTCTGCTCAATATCTTTTACACTTGACAGAAAATCCTTTGCCTCATGACTAATCAACATAGACGCATTCTCCTTTTCAGTTTCTCTTCGTTTGTCCGTCTCTGCTTTCTCCATCTTTGATTTGCATAATACAATTGAAGTTGTTTTATCCATTGCTTCAGCTGATCCATTAATGCCACAGCACTCAGGCTGAATCCCCCTAACTTTGCATGCCTTGGTTTGCGCTGATTCTACAGACCTCTCGGAAATATAATTGTTGAAAGAGCTAACAACCATTTTATTTCCAGCAGATTTTTTATGAGGTGATACTTCACTATTTGAAATATTTTCAACTCCCAATGAATGACATTTATCATCAGTCAACTCCTGAGATGCCTTAGCTTCTTCACCAGGGTGGCCATTTTGTCTTAAACCCACAAATTTACCAAAATGTTGCGTCATGGCATATTCACCATTTGGGATCTTGATACAATCCACTGAATAAACCGGATCAAAAAAATCCCATGAAGTGCCAATCTCCGGGAATGGAGGTGGTGGAGGCACCGGAAAAGTAAGACTCTCATCTCCTTCCTCTTCAAGATAATGATTTGGTGATGACTCAACTGTGACCTTTACAGAAGTGCTCCCTGCCGCCCTCATATAGCTAACATTAGAGAGCCGAGGGGAAACAAGACTTCCATCATGTGGTGAACTAAGTATTTCAGGAATAAGGGATGGAGACGGTGAAGCATAAGATGAATGCGAAAGCGCTTGTTCCAACTCAAAATTTGATTGTGATGGATCCACTGAAATCTCAGCTTCAGCAAATTCTCGTAGTGCAGCTCCTACATTTCGAAGGGACTGGGTGTAAGAAAGCTGAGCTGCTGATAGAGCATATCTTAAATCTACTGCTTGTTTAATGTATCGCATTCTCTCTTTACAGAGAAGTAGAGCTTTGTTTCCATCATTTTTGGAGTTCAAAGCACCCATTATGTTTGCTACTGTTTTGTAATCTACGGTCTGACGTAAAGCATCTCACGCAAAGCCAGATGAATCATAAGGGGCTGTTTGGTAGCAGGATTTATGCCGGATTTGAGCGAAATCCAGCCAAACGACCTAAAATGCAAAACCAAATCTCACGGTAAATGAAAGCCGTCCCGGATTTCCGAAATCCTCTGATTCGACGGATTTACGGGATTTGGTCGAAGAAGCACGCGAAAGGGAGAAAGTTACCTTCACAGCTAGCGAGCTCCCTCGTTACTTCCGATCAAAATGTCCAAACTTCCGATCCAACAGGCCTTCGAGGAGCGAAGTAGAACAGCTACGAAGGAGCCGAAGAAGAACAGCAGCAACGAGAGCAACGGAGAGTACCGTATGAACGAGGAAAAAACAAAAAGGCAAAGGGGTGATTGCTGCGGGGAGAGAAAAGACAGGGAAAAATAATGGAATCGAAAAAGAAATGAGTGGGATTCAAAGGTAGAACATATTCTCTCTCTTCTTCCCGTAATGCCCATTAAAGTTGCAGGATGGTGGCGCAGAGTAGGGTGAGAGTATTCTTGTGTTTCATCATACGGGAACAAGAAAAATGACCGCTTTTGGGACCCAGTTAAAAATTCGATAGTACATTGCGGGCCGCGCTCCTGAGGTAGTGGCTGAAATTGGGCCGGGCTTTAACATTAGAAGAAAAGGGCAGTTGTCAGCCCACATGCACATAATATATATATATATATATATATTATTGATTAAATCTTTAAAATTTTCACTTGAATAGTATAAATTTTAAGATAATATTTGAATTAAAAATTTTTTAATTAAATTCAATATCATCAAATCTTTGATTTCAATAAATTTATTGTCAAACTGAACGTCCTGATAAGATGAATTCAACAACATCATAAGTGATCCGACAACAATCATAGGCAATTAACACTATCATCGTATTTATATCTTGATCATAAACATATTAACCTTATTATTGGATTTTAATAGTCCATTAGTGAATATACTACTTTTATAATTAAATAATTGTTCTCAATTTTATAATTATTTTTTCTTCGTTTATAAAGATGAGCAGATTATTGCATCATAATTATATAATGAACTATTACAATTGGGTCATGTTTAATGATTTTCATCTTCTTTTTTTTTCACATTAAATTTTTTGATGTCTCTTGCTGCTTCTATTTATGTGTATTAGACCTTCGTACAAAAAAAAAAAAATTATAGAATATCATCATTAAATTTCTACCACATAATAATTCCCAATGATAAAATTCTTTGACAGTCTCATAATAGCTAATATTTTTTTAATCAAATTGGATATAAATATGAAGTTAAAAAAATTCTATGATGAAAATTCCTGCCCTACTTTCATAAGTAATTAGTGGCTAATTTTCTTAACAAATTAGCTATGGCCAAATTATAAAGAGTGAATGAGCCCGTCAAACGTTTTGACACATTCAGCAGAATGGGCCAAAACATGTTAGCACATTTTTAATGGGCCAAATGGATAGGCCAGAAATCGGCTTCAGCGGATAGGCCAGAAATGCTAGCTATGTACGAAGATCCAACACACCTAAATTTTTACGTGGAAAACCCTAAAAATGGAACACGGGATCCTGCCTAGTTAAAGTGATTTTACTAGTATTTGTAGTCAATTATAAATGTGCTTGTCTACCAGGGAAGGTCTTTGCTCAATGAAGCAAATATATATCATATATGGTGGTAGTGAGAATAATTTAGTGATGCGATAGTTATTTTCAAAAGAATATTAGCATGGTCGTTTGGTTAATAAGACCGTAGTTGGGCGACAGAGGTCAGAAGGAGTCGTAGTTTGGCTACTAAGGTAGAGGGGACCATTGCAGAGTAATAGAAGTCAGAAAGACCATAGTCAACGAGGGCAACAGTGGCCAAAGGAACTGTAGCCGTCAGGGATGTTGGTCTGAGGGACTGTAGTCAGCGGGTGACGGTAAACGGATGAGTCGTAGTCGACGACAAATAGTTTAAACCAAATCCTTAATAACTTATATTAGGAGATCCTCATTAAATTTAAAAGTTTGGGTGAATATTTTCAATAAAAAAATAATTGAGCATTTTATTAAAAAAAAAAGATAATTACTTTTTATTTTTAAAATATTAAATTTAGGTGTTGTCTTACAACATATAAAAAAATATTAATAATTATATATAAATATCTAATAAATAAATTAAATTGAATATTTTTTTGACACAAAATAACTCATTAAAATAATTTCATTCCAAATTATTTATTAAAAAATAAAAAATAAACATTTTCATTTACCTTTTTAATAGCTAATTAAATTATTAAGAGTAATTATTTTAATACATTCCATTTGCATCTAATTTTTTTAATAGCTAATTAAATTATTACGAGTAATTATTTTAAAAATTTATCCAACAAATGACCACTTTGGGACCGAGTCAAAAATTGGAGAGTACATAAAAGTTCGTTCCTGACGTAGTTGCTGAGAATTGGTTGAAATTGGGCCGGGCTTTAACAGCCCAACAAAAGAGCAGTTCTTAACCATAAGAAATTGAACCGTTAATGGCTTTTTGATTTAGTTGTTTGAAAAAACAAAATGCAGCGTGGGCTTATTTTGGCCATTGACTCTAAACATCCCCTACATGGCACCAACTTCATCTCTTTCATTTTCGAGCTCTCTCTCCTATAAATTACAAAGCTTCTTTCCCACTGATTTTACCCTTTCACACTTTCTTACCTTCTCTTCAATCTTTTCTATTTTCTCTTTTTTTTTTTTATAGAAATATTTCTAATCTTGGCAGCTCTTCTCATAAAAGCTATATTTATTATCGAAACGTGATTTTCTTTTTTTATAGAAAGACATATATATTAATGGGTAGGGTGAAGTTGGAAATAAAGAAAATTGAGAATAATACAAATAGGCAAGTGACGTTTTCGAAGCGACGCAATGGCCTCATCAAGAAGGCTTACGAGTTCTCTGTTCTTTGCGATATAGATATCGCGCTCATCATGTTCTCTCCTTCTGGCAGGCTCAACTGCTTCTCCGGTCGCCGGAGGTAAATTGAATCCCACTTATTTTTCTTTTTTCATGCTTTCTTACAAAAATAAATGATATTTTGTAATTTAAATATTTTTTTTTAATATTGCAGGATTGAAGATGTTATTGAGAAGTGCATTAATGTGCGAGAGCATGACAAAGGAGGGTATGCCATTTATTTAAGTGTTATTACATGTATTAATTTTATTTAATCATAATTAATTATTTAATTTATACTAATTCTCTTTTAATTTCCTAATCTTGAAACAGGGCTAAGCTGGACAAAGATGTAAGTTGGCATCAATTTTGTATTTTTCTTTAATCATTTTAATTATTTTATCAATAAATTAGGAGCTAAATTTGTGTTTTTCTCTTAATTATTTTTAATGGATAATTACAGTATTTGATGAGGACTCTTAGCAAACTCAAATATGAGAACGATATGGCTACCCACCAAGCCAAGTAAGTTTTATTTAATTATTTATTTTTACAATTCCATCATACTAACTTTTTTTTTTTTCATTTTACTTCGTATGTACGGCCTAATTCAGCCCGGAGATGCTGAATATAAACTCCAAAGTAGAGGTACGTATGTCGGATATAATTACTGCATTAAAAAACATATTTCTTTCCCAAAAAAGAAAAATCAGATTTCAATGGTTTGCGGGTCATACGGGTCGTGTTGTGTTGACCTGGATCTGAAGGGGGTCGTGCCAAGTTGACTCGAACCCAAAGTGGGTCAAGTTCGGGTCTGGTATAATAACCCATTTCAAAAAACGGGTTTGGTTTCGGGTTGACCTGTAAGGTGTTGAGTTAGTTTTGGGTTGATCCTGATCCCGATTCATAACCCGGTATTAATGACAACACTAATGAAATAAAATAATATAAAATATATTTACAATAATATTTAGTTCAATATGATTTCTTATATTTTCAGGAACTCCAGGTAGAGCTTAATGCTTGTCAACAACAACTGCAAATACTTGAAAAACACTTAAGGTAATCTACTGATAAATATTTAAAATTGTAATTACGGCTTTGTTTGAGAAGACTTTTTTATTGCTTCTTATAACATAATTTTGATACATAAATTTTATGATTTTTTATCATTTGCTTTATTTTTCAATGAATATCTAAAAAGATTGCATATCCCTTTGTTATTCTCTTCTATATAATATATGAATTATTAAATGTAGGAAATTTGAGTTTTGTAATATTTCACATAATTATAATTACAATTTTTACAGATTTTTTGAGGCTGATCCTGTGCCTCTCTACTCTTTCATATCTTTGAGCGAGCTCGAATCATACCAGAAATTTTTTATGGAATCTTTGGCACGTGTTTCTAAGAAAAAGGTATATAATATAATTTTCTCGATTTATTTTAAGGTGACAATAACAATAAAATCAAGCCTTTATCCCACCAACTACATGTGGTCCTCTATATTTTGAGGAGCTAAATTTAATAAATGAATATTTTGGGTTCACTCAAATTATAAAAACAATAAATATACTATATATACATATATATAGTCATATTTCATTGGTTTCACATAGGTATTATTTCTCTCAAATCAACTATTTTTATGAAAATAATTAATATATGTATTTCATTGGCTTTATTTATTAATAATATGTGTATTCATTCCCCTAACTTTATAATCATTTTTAGTAGAATTTCTTGTTGGGCAATCATCTTCCCGCCTACGATCCATCCCTGACGAGCATACCGGTAAAGTCAGCTACATCAATCAAACATAATACATCATTATGAGCCAATAAATTGCTACACATATTTTTTCTCTTTTCTGCAGATGAACCTGCAGCTTGAACAAGAAGGAATGCGAAACCCCTTGAGCTACGATCACATACAGTGGATCCAGAATAGCTTTGGTAGGCCAAACCAATCATGGTTCTTCACTTCAGATCCTCTCGCGCCCCTCAGGTACGAAGATTTCGTCCAACGAGGCAGGAATCACGAGATGTGTGAGCCGATGTCAGCTCAAATGGACCAACAAGTGGGAGTCGACACGTGGCAACAAGGCTATGCATCTATAGAGCACTTATCGGCATCGATCCCTCCCGCGCCGTTAATAACCCAGGTGTTTAATTGAGCTAATTAGTAATAAATCACAATAATTAATTGAATTAAAACTAACGACGAACAATTGACGACGTTCGGATGCTGGTGTTTCAATTCAGGCTTCGGTAGAAATGTCGGAGCAGCCGTCGGTTGAGCTACAGGTCGAGGATAGCAAATGTGGTGGCGAGAATTTGAATTTGGTACAATCTTTCTCCTTTTGGTTGGATCACCTCTCATAAATTATATTTATTTATTTATTTTTATAATAAAATGGTATAAAAAATGTATGTTTATATTGGTTGATACGTCCTAAAAAATTGCCTTGATCAAGCACGAATCTTGAGGCATATTCAAATGGGAATTTTTCAGCAAACTTACAATCAAATTGAACATCTCAAAGGGACGAACCGAACAACACCGAAATTGGTCCAACCAAAGCCCAAATGGGTCCAAATCGGGGGCCCGGACCACATTTGGAAGGGTTAAAGCATTATTTGGATAATGAAATGATATCCAAATATGACATGCTTATAGTCAAATCGAGCGTCTCGGCGAGAAGAATCCAACGAGCCTAAGATCTCTGAATTCCGACACTGTTAAGGCACTTAAACAGTTAAAAAACTCTCTACGATCAGGGGAATCAATATGCAATTTAATAAAAATTTATAAAATGAATATTTTATTTAATAAAAAATAAAATTATTATCTTTATTTACATAATTAATTCAACAATAGGCGAATTGAATTAAAATTTAAAATATGTTATGTTTCAAGTTAGTAAATTTGCTTATGAAATGAAGTGATGACAAAATAAGTGCATAAGAAAAATAAATCAATTTCGATTATTTTATGTATATTATACATTCCAAGTTATATTTTAAGAAAATTAAACAAAGAAAATAACCAACCGAAACATTATAGCTCTTTTAGTGAGGTTCCATAGTGATCCATGATATAAATTCTGGATGAATGTTAACATCATGAATTATAACATCTTATAAATGAAAAAAGAAATTGGAGAAGCGAGATTATTAATTACCCACAATGAAATAGAGAACATATTTGCCTTTGAGATCAATAGAGCCTTCCTTAGTGAAAATTAAACAAAGAAAATAAAATAATAGATTGCATTTCATCAAAGTTTATAAATTAATATAAAAGAAAAAAATGAACAATTTTGAACATACCTCCAAGTTCATTCTTCTTTCCTCTATTTTTTAAATCGTAGATTAGCTCCTCGATTTCTTTTTATTCAATAGAATTAAAAACAACTATGTGTAATTCTAGGCCATACAAAATAATGAAAATATTCAAGCGCATAGAGTGCATTTCATCAAACTTCACAAATATAAATGCACGTGCACAAAGTGCACGTTGCTTGAAATGAATGAAAATTGTGCGCTGATGTTATAGATGAATCAAACAAAGATAATCAAACTTAAAATATATATATATATCAATTTTGAAGGGACCCAAACAATCCAATAAATATGAAAGAATCATATAATCATGTGCACAATTTGCATGTTTATAAGACTTCAAAAGTTGATAGAAATATTATAAAATAAAAAAATATTGATATGAAAATTGAATATTACTAATCACGATACAAATATTTAGCTGAAACTTCTTTTTTATACATTGAAAATACTTTTTACAATAATTAATTATAAATATGAACACAGCTAACCAATTTGTTCCTTGAAATGTTAGTTAGGGTGCGTTTGGGACGGCGGTACTGCTGCTTTACTTTATAAAAAGTTATAAAATCATTGTTTGGGACATTGCGGCAGAACCACGGCAGAAAAAATTTGCGGCACGTGGTTGCTTCCCGCGACCATTCCCTGTCTCCCGCGGTCCGCTTCCCGCGACCATTCCCTGTCTCCCGCGGTCCGCTGCTTTCGGCAGAGAAATGACGAAAATCTCTCTCTTCAGTGCCTTTTAAATGCCAACGAAATGAGCCTTTAGGCTTCTCTCCCTCTCTCGTTTCGTAAGCCACAATCCACGCCAACATCGTCAAAGCCACGACATCCTGTCCTGAAGCCGACCAACACCCTTCCTCACCTCTATACTTGCGACTTCCTTCCATCTCGACGCTGAACTCCCGTTGCTACTTCTGATTCCTTCCTCTAGCCGAGCTTATTAAATCCTGACCTCCAACCCTACAGACGTCGGCCCCTGCACGAACAGCCCCAATCGAGCACATCCACACCAAGCCGAGCCGCACGATCTGACTCTACAAGCTTCCCAACACTTTCATTCGATTTCTTCTTGCAAATCCCTAGCCGACGCCAACTGCACCGACCCTTGCCCAACCTCTTGATTTCTTCGTTCCACACACACACAGAGAGAGAGAGAGAGAGAGAGAGAGAGAGAGAGAGAGAGAGAGAGAGTTCTCCTCCCTCCCTCACAAGCTTCGGACGAGTGTTTATGGTTCACAAAAAAGTGTTTGCCTGTCTATGTGTTTATTGTAGAATCCTTTGTGTTCTTGAACAAAACCGTAAGGTTCTTGAGAGAGAGCATAAAATAGAAATAAGGCTTGTATTATTATTGCCCTATGCAGGAGGCAGTATAGAAGATACATGAGAAGAGAAAGTATGGTTGTCCAATGAGAGCTTGACAACTCATTCTTGATTTATTTTAATTATATTGGGCTTATATACTAATAGCCCGGTTGTGTTGAATACTTGAATGTGATCGCGAAACATATATTTATAAGACATCATGATAAGTGCTTTTTACTGTTTTTAAGGAGTTTTTTTTATTTATAATTGTTAGTTTATTATCATATACATTTAAAAAAAATTAAATTTGAAAAAATTATATATTTCATCTAAATATATATAAGGGTATGAAGGTAATTAGTTCTCATGCAGCTGCAGCACAGCAGCTCTACAGTTATACTATCCAAACAAAATATAATGATTTCTATAAAGCAACTTCAGGAAGTAACTTTCTGTACAACAATTTCACAACCTACTTTACCGACAGCTGCAGCCGTCCCAAACGCACCCTTAAACAAGCATAAGAAATACTACATGCTGTTGATTGTAACGGCAAAACCACCGACATACCCAAACGACACAACCGCTCCGTTGCCGACTTACCCACCGCCTCACTCACGAAATAAAACAACTCTCCCTCTCATTCGGATGTTTTACGCTCACTCACACGCAAACGCACACAGAGAAGAAGAAATCAAGTTTCGAAATTTACCTTTCGCCATTCCTGTCGAAGCACGCCGTCGTAATTCTGCCAGAGCCGACGCCGTCGAACCCGCCGCTTTCTCCCTCGGTGGGGAGGCGACGCCGGGAGGCTGCCAAAATTTTCATTGAACATCAAAGGACTTGGACTAAAAATTAAAAAATTAATTTGAACTCAATTCGAATATAAAAATGAAATTAAAATTCGATTCGAACATAAATTCAAATTCGACCAAATAATGTTGGAATTGGACTCAAAATCAAACTTCTCATCAGGATCTTACACTCAATGAGATAACAAAATTACAAGGGTCATTATAAAACTTGAATGATAGCAAATATTAAGGAGAATGAGAATTTTGTGGGTTCTAAGTAATATATATTCAAAAAAAAAAAAAAAATCAAAGTAGTACAGCCCACTTTAAAAGCTAAAATGTTATAAGCAACTGAATGGACTATATATATATATATATATATATATTTGAACTTAAGAAATCAATCTAATTTTTTTTTAAAATGGATAGTTCATGTATTTGTAATTTTGATTAAAAAAAAATGCAGAAACAACTATGTCTTGTTCTGCTGACAATTTGACTTGATAGAAGAATTTTCCTAAAAGATTTGAGAGCCTCTTATGCAATTGAGATGAAGAATTTGAAGGTGATATTTAAATGAAACTTGAAACTATGAGTTAAAGGGTATACTCATATTGCAAAGATGAAAATGTAAGAGAAACTATTTTGAGGAAGGTTAAAGACTACTGTTATTGCCACCTCAATCTTCTTCTTAATGAAGTTGTGTTCGATTAATAAATTCTAGAAGTTGAAAATAATCAAGTCAAAGGACTAGTTCTCCAAAACTTACATTCACATCTAACTATATGGCATCTACATATAGAGATGGGTCAAAGAATATGTGAAATATACATGAGTCATTCTATTGGCCATCAAATATGTTTTAAGCTCCAACATGACACTAAAGTATACTACAATTCACCTATAAGAAGGAATAGGAAATTCATAGTGCCCACAACAACTAGTTTGCAAGCAAGGACAAAGAGCTTGTATAAAATAAATTAGTCTACTTATGGGAGAGAATATGAGAGCTTATAACAAATAATATAATTCTCCTACGAACACTATTACGATCTCCTAATGCCTATTGAACAAGCATTCCCTGTAAGCTATGTTAAGTGGGACAATAACGACAAAGATATATCTTCTATGTATTACAAATGAAGCCTAATTTAAAGTGATGCCACCGGATCCGCAACCTGTGTACAAGCGGACAGAAGGCGTTCGTAGGTCTTTAAATGAAATCTCAGGCTATTTTCTAAGCAAAATCACTTGCGCAATGGATCATGTTTAAATATTTTAAAATGCCCCATTATGTATTAAATATGATCTCTAAAACTAAATATACCCGCATGTGCTCCAATCATCATATCTAAGTTCCAAATCTAACGATTCGAGAATGCTGCGCGGGTAAAATATTCAAGTTTCATCCTCCTCCTTAAAAGGACAGGAGTCGACATGACTTGAAGTATAAAATGCCTCCCAAAAATTCTACAAAATACATGTGACCTTAATGCCACCCCGATGATGGTCACGTTGACTGGAAATCTCAACCGAAGGGGTCAAATCTCAAATCTCAAATCAAACAAAAGCTCAAATTTTTGAAATAAAATATATGATCTAAAAACTCAAAACTAAAAATCATCCGCCTCCCGCAATCGTTTATCGGGGGTGATAAATTTGAAATTAACCTTAGCTCACAAAGAGCAAATGTTGTGTCGGGTGTATCACTATGATTCATCCTCAAAACAGTCTCTTGCCAACAGGCACGTGGCACGTGCCCTCTGACCGGGTGGTTTTGCCGCAAAATGGCACCATTATATTACGATCACGGCCAAAGCCCGTATGTTCCCTAAAGGCGTCAAACCCTTGAGCGATGGATCATAGGGTATATTCGATAGGCATAAAGCCCTCTATTAGCTAAGGTGGATTCGGATATATCCCCTTAGACAAACATCAACCCTGGTCTACAAGGTATTCTTGAACGAAGCAAACCATAGCTGCCGACAAGATGCCTTCTGTCAGGTTGGGTCGACTACCTCCTCTGACTAAGTAGACCAGGGATCATGACAGCCCAGGATGACGGAACCATGGGATCTTGATCGGGCTCGTCTTCATTCCCCCAACATCAGTTTTAAGTTTGTGGTGATAAACTCTAAATTTCAAATCATCCAAATTCAAAATTTAAACCCTAAAATTATTGCTATTATATGATAGGTTCATAACCTATGTGACATCCTTAACGACTAGCCTTAATCGAAAGTTCTATCTCGTTATCGGGATGGGTAATTAACTATAGGGGCTTGCGCCTATAGTTAACCAGAACTCAGATAAAAAAGTCCTCACCAAATGAGAGCGAAATCTCTAGGTAGTGTCTTATCTAAAACCCAATCTTCCTTCTGAAAATTCCTCCGGAATCTAATCTCGTTAAAACTCTCTGTCGTCATCGTCACACAAACACTTAACAGAAAAATAAATCGATGGCGTGGAGAGGCCGGGATCACACAACAAAAATGGAATTTTCGGAGCCCACACATGCAGAGGTAGGAATTAGATTTTTTTTTTCAGGCTTCAAGATACACAAGGATTTGGGTTGAATAACATCCCTAACAAAGATAATCATATGGATTTGTATTGTATTCCATCTATGAATAATGTTTCAAGTCAAAGTAGAAATTAACAGTGTCTTTTAGATTAAAAGAAAATATTGGCTTACATGTTCGCATCTGCTTATTGTTTGGTGGTTATCATACCAAGTATCATGATCAGGACGTCACCAGAGGCGACTTCCGAGCAGCGAACTCCCATCGTGAGCCAACATGAACAAGAACAAAGAAGGCTTGACAAAGATCATTACCTTCGCAGTAAACTCCCGAGGCGACTTCCGAGCAACGAAGCAAGAAGCTGCGACTCCGACAGGACCAACGATCGAAGGCAAAGTAGCGACTCCGATAGAAGGATGAAGGCTAACTCTTTCTTCACATGAAGCCTTAAAAGCCTAGTTGGGGAGGTATCGAACGGGACTCGAGGTGCAGGGAAGAGAGACGTTAGTTTTAGATATATTTGACGTGAAATAGGATCCCAAGAGGTGTTTATTAATACATCAAATAAAGTTACAATTATTAATTAATTATAATTATTAAAATAAAAGAATAAAATTTAATTTGAATAATTGAAATTAATTAAATTGAATGGCCAGAATTTGTTATGCAAGGAAACTCAAGCCCCTTCTAATATTTGCCCATAAAAAATTGGAGAGTACGTTGCGGGCTCCATTTAACAGCCACAGGTAAACAAAAAGGTAATTATAAGCCATAAGAAATTGAGCCTTTAATGATTTTTTTATTTAATTGTTGAAAAAAATAAAGAAAACAAAATGCAGCGTGGGCTTACTTTGGCCATTGACTCTAAACCTCCCCAACAACATCTCTTTCATTCTCTAACTCTCCCTCCTATAAATTACAAAGCTTCTTTCTCATTTATATAGTTTCTGACATCCTCTTCAATCTTTGCTATTTTTCTCCGTTCTTCTAAAGATATATTTCTAATCTTGGCCGCTCTTCTCAAAAAAGCGATTTCGAAACGCGATTTTCTTTTCTTAGAAAGACGTATAAGAATGGGTAGGGTGAAGTTGGAAATAAAGAAAATAGAGAACAACACAAATAGGCAAGTGACGTTTTCAAAGCGACGCAATGGCCTCATCAAGAAGGCTTACGAGCTCTCTGTTCTCTGCGATATAGATATCGCGCTCATCATGTTCTCCCCTTCTGGTAGGCTTAGCACCTTCTCTGGTCGCCGGAGGTAAATTGAACCCAACTCATTCATTTTTCTTTTTTCATGTTTTTTTTGTAAAAATAAATAATATTTTGTAATTTAAATAAATTTATTATTATTTTTTAATATTGCAGGATTGAAGATGTGATTGAGAAGTGTATTAATGTGCGAGAGCATGACAAAGAAGGGTATGCCATTTAATTAAATGTTATTAACTGTATAAAAATTTTTAATCATAATTAATTAATTAATTAACACTAATTCCCTTTTAATTTTCTAATCCTGAAGCAGGGCTAAGCTGGACAAAGATGTAAGTTGGCATCAATTTTGAATATTTACTTAATCATTTTGATTAATTTATCAACAAATTAGAAACTAAATTTATATTCTTCTCTTATTTATTTTTCAATGGATATTTGCAGTACTTGATGAGGACTCTTACCAAGCTCAAATATGAGGATGACATGGCTGCCCACCAAGCCAAGTAAGTTTTATTTAGTCATTAATTTTTACAATTCTATCATATTAACTTTTTTTTTTACTTCACATGTACGGCCTAAATCAGCCCGGAGATGCTGAGCAAAAACTTCAAAGTGGAGGTACGTATGTCAGTTAGAATTGATGCATTAAAAATCATATTTCTTTCCCAAAAAAGAAAAATCAGATTTCAATGGTTTGCGGGTCATACGGATCGTGTCGGTTTGGATTGATTCAAACCGAAAGCGGGTCGTGTTCAGGTTGACCTGTGTGGTGCCGAGTCAGTTTCGGGTTGGATCCGAACTTGACCCATAACCCAATAATAATGACAACCCTAATGAAATAAAATAATATAAAATGTATTTCCTATAATATTTATTTCAATATTATTTCCTATATTTTCAGGAACTCCAGCGCGAGCTCAATGCTTGTCAAGAACAACTGCAAATGCTTGAAAAACCCTTAAGGTAATCTACAAATAAATATATAAAACTGTGATTACTGCTTCGTTTGGAATGACTTTTTAATTGCTTCTTAAAACATAATTTTGGTACAAAAATTTTATGATATTTGTCTTTTGCTTTATTTTTCAATGAATATATATCTAACAAGTTTGCATATCACTTTTTTATTCTCCTCTATATAATATATGAATTATTTCACATAATTATAATTACAATTTTACAGATTTTTGGAGCCCAATCCTGAGTCTCTGGACCCTTTGATATCTTTGAGCGAGCTCGAATCATACGAGAAATTTTTTATAGAATCTCTGACACATGTTTCTGAGAAAAAGGTATATAATATATTTTTCTCGGTTTTCTTTTGAGGCGATGACAATCAAATCAAGCCTTTATCCCACCAAATATATGAGATCGTCTACATTTTGAGCAGCTAAATTTAATAAATGAATATTTTGATTTCATTCATATATATATATATATATATCTTAGTATTTTCATTGGTTTCACATAGGTATTATTTCTCTCAAACAAACAATTTTTATAAAAATAATTATTATAGATAGTTTTAATTATTAATAATATGTGTATTCCCCTAACTATATAATAATTTTTCGTAGAATTTCTTGCTGGGCAATAATCTCCCCGCCTACGATCCATCCCTGACGAGCATACCGGTAAAGTTAGCTATATTAATCAAACAAAATACATCATTATGAGCCAATAAATCGCTACACATATTTTTTGTTCCCTTTCCTGCAGATGAACCTACAACCTGAACAAGAAGGAATGACAAACTCGTTGAGCTACAATCACATACAATGGGTCCAGAATCGCTTTGGTAGGACCAACCAATCATGGTTCTTCACTTCAAATCCTCTCGTGCCCCTCAGGTACAACAATTATATCCATTATTCGTTATTGTCGTGTAAATACTTTAATTTTAACAGTAGAATTTCATCCAACGAGGCAGGAATCACGAGATGTGCGAGTCGATGTCAACTCAAATGGACCAACAAGTGGGAGTCGACACGTGGCAACAAGGCTATGCATCTACGGAGCACTTCTCGGCATCCGCGCCGTTAATAACCCAGGTGTTCAATTGAGTTAATTAGTATCAATCACAATAATTAATTGAATTAAAACTAACGACGAACAACTGACGCCGTTTGGATGCTGGTGTTTCAGGCTTCGATAGGAATGCCAGCGTTGTCGTCGGTTGAGCTACAGGTCGAGGACGGCAGATGTGGTGGCGAGAATGTGAATGTGAAACGATCTTTGGCAGTTTGATTGGATCACCTCCATTAATTTATTTTCTTATTTATTTTTATAATAAAATGGCATAAAAAATGCAACTTTTAAACTGTTTATATTGTATTATTGACCTTATGATTACCGATTTTAGATGATAGCTGTAAGGACAAAATAAATATTGTCAAGAAAAAAAGAAGAAGAATACTTCTATTTCCTGCCATTTTTTCCCTGAGCTTTTTTATTCGTTCGCACAGTGATCACTTTCTTATTGATATATATATATATATTGTCTTTGGTCTTCGACTATAAAAGAAGAGATATTGTTAGCATCCTTCTTAGGAATTAAAGCATGGTTACCCGAAAAAATTCAGAAACAACATCCATATATCACACTTAGTAATATGCCAAGTTTTAACAAAGAACTTAGTAGTAAAGCCATCAGGACCAGCAACGGAATCACCATTCATATCCTGCATAACCTTCCAAACCTCCTCCTCAGACGGACAAGAGTAAGATGAAAATTATCAGTTTCCGAAATACAACAAGACACAATATGAGGATTCATAATAGGGGACGGCATGAATCCACTATTAAAAATATTTCTAAAATGATCAACACCAGAATTCAAAATAGCATCCTCCTCTTTCAGGACTCTACCTTCATCACTAGCAATTTTGAATATATGATTCCTAATTTTTTTCTTGTTAGCCAAAGCATGAAAAAACTTTGTGTTCCTATCACCTTCAACAGTGAATTTAGTAGTAGCTTTTTGTTGCCAATATATTTCTTCTTGATCATGTAAAGCAAACAGTTCAATCTTTGCATTATTGAGGTCAGAGAGATTAGAACTATCATGATTAAGCATATAAACATTTTCAAGTTCCATCATCTCACATTCAGCAATCTTAATATTAGCAAATAAATTTTTAAAAACATGTTTGTTTCACCATCTGAAAACTTGCTTCAGCCTACTAAACTTGTTCCACAACTTAACCATACCCGAAATATTACCATCAGGGAAAATAGGAGAATGCCAATTAGTCTCAACAACATTAAAGAAATCTTGATGAGATAACCACATGTTTTGAAATTTAAATGCATTAGGAACATAACTATTATTAGCATTGATAGTAAGCAGTAAAGGGGCATGATCAAAAGCAGTCATACTAAGATGTTCCACATGAGTCATATGGAAATTAGCAATCCAATTATTATTAAATAAAACTCTATCAAGTCTTTGCCATAAGTTACCTCTACTCCAAGTATAAGCATTCCCAAAATAATCTATATCATGTAAGTCACAAGTAGGGATCATGGAGTTAAAATCCTCCATAGCATTAATATTAGGAGGATTACCTCCCAATCTTTCACTATCATTAGAAATAACATTGAAATCATCTCCAACACACCACGGCCCTGAAGTATTAGCAACAAAATTCTTAAGCTTATCCCAAAGTTCTAAACGGCCCACTCTAGAGCAGGCAGCATAAACAAAAGATGCATTACAATAAAAAGTAAACATGGATATAGAGACATTCACAACTTGAACAAAGTCATTCAGAATATTCACGTTGATAGCATTATTCCACAAAATCAAAATCTTATTAGAGCAATTAGCAAATTTATTAGAAAAACCTAATTTAGAAGCAGTATTATCCAGTTTACTCATAGAAATCAAAGGTTCAAGTAATACCAAAAGATGAATATTATGAATTCTACAAATGTTTTTAACTCTAGTTTTAGAATCCTCCCCACCAATACCACGAACATTCAAAATAAGAGACTTAACCATGGGAACCTTTAGCACTAGTTTGCGCTCTAGTAGAGAACGACGTAGAGGATACATAATCTTTAGACTTTTTCCCTTTTTTCTTATTAACTTTAGTAAAGTTCTCTTCCTCAAGAATTTTAAGAAAGGAATCATCCACCGTAGATTAGTTAAAATCCTCCATAGCATTAATATTAGGAGGATTACCTCCCAATCTTTCACTAGCATTAGAAATAACATTGAAATCATCTCCAACACACCACGACCCTGAAGTATTAGCAACAAAATTCTTAAGCTGATCCCAAAGTTCTAAACGGCCCACTCTAGAGCAGGCAGCATAAACAAAAGATGCATTATAATAAAAAGTAAACATGGATATAGAGACATTCACAACTTGAACAAAGTCATTTAGAATATTCACGTTGATAGCATTATTCGACAAAATCCAAATCTTATTAGAACAATTAGCAAATTTATTAGAAAAACCTAATTTAGAAGCAGTATTATCCAGTTTACTCATAGAAATCAAATGTTCAAGTAATACCAAAGATGAATATTATGAATTCTACAAATGTTTTTAACTCTAATTTTAGAATCCTTCCCACCAATACCACGAACATTCCAAATAAGAGACTTAACCATGGGAACCTTTAGCACTAGTTTGCGCTCTAGTAGAGAACGGCGTAGATGATACAGAATCTTTAGACTTTTTTCCTTTTTTCTTATTAACTTTAGTAAAGTTCTCTTCCTCAAGAATTTTAAGAAAGGAATCATCCACCGCATATTTTTTAGATTTAGAACCTTCTAAATCTAAAAGCAAAGAGCTACCACGTTCCAAGTTTTGCACCAGTTTTTCCTTCTTATTTTCAGTAGGGATAAATTCCCCTTCTTCACAATTTTCATTGATATCAGAGTCTACATTAATAGCTAAACCAGATTCCGGAGCAACTATAGGAACAGCAGTAGAGTTATGTAACATAGAATCAATAGAGATAAAGATATTAGGGAGCTTCTCACTGTCATTACACAGAGTATATATATATTACAAAGATACCTTCATGAGATATATTTGATTGATTAAGCCAAGTTATATATTAACTATTATACCTTCACCTCTTTAATCTTGCCTTTCCAATGTATTTATTGAATAGAAGAAAATAAATGACAGAAAAACGAGCATTTATCTTTATTAACTCATGCATTTAAATTTTATATTATTGTCATGCTACATGTAAATCATAATGACAAATTAAAAAAAAAATTATAAAACAAAATAACAACCAATTAACAAGAATGATGATGCATAATAATTCAAAAATCCAACCAAGTGATCCTACTAAAGTCAAAACTCAAAGCTTAATTAGAAGTAGTCGAGGTACACTAACTACCTATTTGATCTACTTGAGCCTATTATAGCCCATTTATACACTACAAAATAACTTAGAAAAAAAAATTGAACTAAAAAAATATTTTAATTTAAATTTAATCAAATTATTTTAAATATCATTGAATTTCTTTTAAGACAATACAATATAATTTTAATTAACAAATATATAAAAAATTATATCATAATATTTTTATATCTAATTTACACTCAGATTACTATCATTCTAATTTCAATGCAAATTCAAAATTTTTGAAGATCACCATCTTCATCTAAAATTAATATTCGGATATAATTCCTTAACATATATCATATTAATCATAAAACAAATTATTCAATGATAATAAAATAATCCTAATAAAATTTAAATTAAAATACTCCAAAGTACTAAATTTACCAGCATTGTATCATCCAGTCGCCAATAGCCTGGCCTTCTCTCCATCCTCCATTCCTCCCATAGTATCATACAACGGCTGATCCAACGTCTCCGGCATATACAAAGCCATCACTCCCCCCACCACTCCACAAACCCCAAACACCAAAAACGTCACATCTCCCCCCATCACCACCACCATCGGCGCCACCACCGCCCCTATCTGCTCCGCCTGCTGCACACATCCCAACGACGTGTTCCTCACCGTCGTCGGAAACAACTCCGCCGTATATATACACCAACAGCAAATTATACGTCGCCGCTATCCCAAATATTCCCATCACGCCACAAACCATCCTCGCCACACCCGCCGCCCCGCCACACAGAAGCCCCCGCTCAGCCACATCGTCCCCACCGTCAGTCTCCTCCTTCTGAACCTCCCAATCAAAAACGCCGCGATGGTGAACGCCGGCAACTCCGACACCGAGTTTATTATCACGCTGAGCTAAATATTTGAATAATTAAAATTAATTAAATTGAATGACCAAAATTTACCCGTCAAAATAAGAGAGTATATTGCGGGTTCTGCTTAACAGCAAAACAAAAAGGCAATTCTCAGCCATAAGAAATTGAACATTTAATTATTTTTTTATTTAATTATTAAAAAAATAAAGAAAACAAAATGAAACGTGGGCTTATTTTGGCCATTGACTCTTAACCTCCCCAACAATATCTCTTTTATTCTCTAACTCTCCCTCCTATAAATTACAAAGCTTCTTTCTCATTGATATTTCCCCACGTATAGTTTCAGACATTCTCTTCAATCTTTGCTATTTTTCTCTTTTCTTCTAAAGATATATTTCTAATCTTGGCAGCTCTTCTCAAAAAAGCGATTTCGAAACGCGATTTTCTTTTCTTAGAAAGACACATAAGAATGGGTAGGGTAAAGTTGGAAATAAAGAAAATAGAGAACAACACAAATAGGCAAGTGACGTTTTCGAAGCGACGCAATGGCCTCATCAAGAAGGCTTACGAGCTCTCTGTTCTCTGCGATATAGATATCGCGCTCATCATGTTCTCCCCTTCTGGTAGGCTCAGCACCTTCTCTGGTCGCCGTAGGTAAATTGAACTCATTCATTTTTCTTTTTTCATGCTTTCTTTCAAAAATAAATGATATTTTGTAATTTAAATAATAATATTATTTTTTAATATTGCAGGATTGAAGATGTGATTGAGAAGTGTATTAATGTGCGAGAGCATGACAAAGGAGGGTATGCCATTTAATTACATGTTATTACTTGTAATAAATTTTTTAATCATAATTAATTAATTAATTAATTAATTAACACTAATTCCCTTTTAATTTCCTAATCTTGAAGCAGGGCTAAGCTGGACAAAGATGTAAGTTGGCATCAATTTTGAATTTTTACTTAAATCATTTTGATTAATTTATCGATAAATTAGAAACTAAATTTATATTTTTCTCTTATTTATTTTTCAATGGATATTTG